GTCTTGTCTTTTTTTTTTTAAAGATTTTATTTATTAGAGAGCACAAGCAGGGGGAGTGGCAAGCAGAGGGAGAAGGAGAGGGAGCCCTAGCCAGGGCTTGATCCCCGGATCCTGGGATGATGAACTGAACCAAGGCAGATGCTTAACTGTGACTGAGCCACCCAGGTGCCTCCCCACTTTTTTTGTAGTTTCAGAAGGGGGTAATGTTGAAGTTTTGATTAGATATCAGTGATAAACAGTACAGTCCACCCGAGAGGTATTCTGTTTTACCTTGTACTGGTAAACACTTTTATATATAAAATCTGAAAAGCAAGAAAAGAGAAAGAAACACTTAAAGATGTTTTATGGGTGAATAAAACAAAATTATTTCAGGGTCTTTGGAGGCTGGATCCACTAACTTTTTTTTTTGTTTAAAAACGGGGGTTTTTTTTTTTATTTTTTAAAGATTTTATTTATTCATTTGACAGAAACACAGTGAGAGAGGGAACACAAGCAGAGAGAGTAGGAGAGGGAGAAGCAGGCTCCCCGCTGAGCAGGGAGCCCGATGTGGGGTTCGATCCCAGGACCCTGGGATCACAACCTGAGCCGAAGGCAGATGCTTAACAACTGAGCCACCCAGGCGCCCCTAGAACTGTGTTTAAATTGGGGCGCCTGGGTGGCTCATTCATTTGAGCGTCTGCCTTCCGCTCGGGTCATGATCCCACTGGGATCGAGCCCTGCATCAGGCTCCCTGCTCAGCGGGAAGCCTGCTTCTCCCTCTCCCACTCCCCCTGCCTGTGTTCCCTCTCTCGCTGTGTCTCTCTCTGTCAAATAAATAAAATCTTTAAAAAAAAAACTGTTTAAATTAATGTTGAAATGGAAATAGAAAAAAATGCTTGAAGTATTAGTTTTCTGTTTACATTCACGTATTCATGATACAATTGGTGAAACAGCATAGTAAAATATTAAAGTAACCGTAACTCCTGAAAGAGAGAAGGGTGATAATGTATGAGTATACAGTATTGAGAGAAAAAGTGAAAGAGAATGGTTTTATTATTGAGTTCTTATTTTTATATATATAATAACATATATAATAACATATTATATATTTATATATAATATAATTATATATATTACATATTATATATTATTATGAGTTCTTTATTACTGAGTAAATTTTGTGCCTTATCAACAATTTTAACCATCAAGTATAAGATGGTTAATCTTTTACTCAAACAGACTCCATGCTGAGCGTGAGTGTGGAGCCCAACGCGGGGCTTGATTCCACAGCCCTGAGATCATGACCTGAGCCAAAACCAAGAGTCGGATGCTCAACTACTGGTGCCCCTTTCTGTTAAGTTCATGTGTTTAGGAGACAAGAGAGACTATTAAGCCTATTCGGATTTTCTCTTTCACATTAGATCCATCTTTGCTGTGGAGACCAGTCACTTGGAAGTACAGAAGTACCCTTAACTGGACTACTGAAAAAGGGGAGTACAGAAATCAACCAGCGCCCCGTCACAGTTGAGGGTGCTTTTATTCTCGACCCTCCAAACCGAGCCAAACAAAAGCTTGCACCTATTCCTGTGGAGCTGGCCCCCACTGTTGGTGTGTCTGTGGCTCTGCAGAGAGAAGGCATAGACGCCCAGGCAAGTAGTGACCCTCCATCCCCTCCTCCAGCTTCTGCGGTGTCACTTGGGACTACTCGTAAAAGTTGAACTTCAGAAGAGTTACCTTGCGTAAGAAGTATTAATTAGTGGCCTACATTATTACATGATACTTCCTTTCTGAAAAGTACTGTGGCTTCCCAGCTATACTTTATTAAGTGTTTATACAGAGCCTTTGCATACAGTCTTGTCTTTTTTTTTTTAAAGATTTTATTTATTTGAGAGGGAGAGAAGAGAGCACGAGCAGGGGGAGGGGCAGAGGGAGAGCAAAATGCAGACTCCCCACTGAGCAGGGAGATCATGACTTGAGCTGAGGGTAGACACTTAACCAACTGAGCCACCAAGTGGTGGTGAACACCACACCTCCTACCCTTTTTTTAAAGACGCATTTATTTTTAGAGAGGGGGCAGAAGGAGAGAATCTCAAGTGGATTCCCAGGTGCCCCCATACAGTCTTCTCCTGTAGTAGGAGCTCTTCCCCCCCGCCCCCAACTCATGGTCAGTCACTGCCAGAAAAGGAATCCCTGTGAGTGAGAATGTTGTTGGACCTAGTTCCTGGGAATCTGCATTAATGGTAATCGTTTCGGTTGACCCTGCCTGAGCTAAGACAAAAGTTCTTGGTTCATTGGTGCTTTGTGGTCCTCATAGTCTCTTTAGGCAACAGAGATGGGTATTCGTTTGGATGTATATACGTTTTTTTGATTGTACGTAGCCCCAGAATCAACTTTAATGTACTGTTATTTTGAAGAACTGATCTTTATGTAGGTTATGGATTAAAGCTGGAAAAACCAAAGTGAGAGTTTAAGTATATGCCTATACATATATATTTTTAGAAGAAAGTTGAACAAAGGAGAGGAAGAAAATCATATTAGATATGTTTTTGTTTTAGTAACAGGCCTCCATTGTGTTTATTGCCTTGGTAATAACCATTCCCAGGGACACCTGGCCTGACTTGTTATATCAAATATACCTTCTTACAAGTTAGGATGCATTTTGATACTCAGCTCTGGATATCATATTTCCTTCCTGTTCATCTTCCTTTTTCTGGTCCTAGATGCTATAAGAAATTTTTTTAAAAAAAAAGAAAAATAGACTAGGAATATCCAAACTGGGAAAGGAAGCTTTTATTTTTTTAAAAAAACAACATCACATTTTTTGCTTAATTATGAAGGAAAGTGCTTTGCAAATTATACTTTATTTAAAAATTGTTTTTAGTCTTTAATTGAATTAAAGACCCAGAATGAACATGAGCTACAGCATTCAAAGAAGCGAGTTTTAACTCCTATAAAAGAGAAGACACTCACTGGGCCAGAGTCACCAAGCGTGTCCCCTGTTCCACCTCAAAACCCATCACCTTCCACAAAAGATGATGTAACAGGAAGTGAAGTGGAAAGCTTGCAATATGATAAGGACACAAAACCAAATCCAAAGGGTAAGATGTTCTTTTTACAGATTTTTTAGGTGTACATTTTGTAGCCATCGAATTAATGATTAAGAGAGTTTTCAGTTTATAAGTAAATTGTGAGCCTTTTTTTTTTAAAAGCCAAAATGTATAGTGATATAAAAAAATTCAGTTTAAATTGAATTAAATTTAAATTGAGTCTATAACTTCATCATAGAACTTGGTACAAGGTAAGAGAATTTTTCAATTACTTTTACTTTAGAAACAGTAGCTTATTGAGAAGAAATTATAGCAAATAGGTCTTTTGAGCATATTTTTAGCCAGTAAACACTTAAATATTGTGAATTCATTGAAATTTTAGAAGAGCTACTGCCTATTGTAATAATCATTAGACTCATTTTTGATCTTACAGTTAAGCGAGAGACTGAGAATGATTTTATCTGGTTTTACAAACTTTTCATTGCTGCCTAAGGATCTGCAGTTACATTTCCTAGTGTAAGTAATTAGAGTAGTGGTGGTTTAGGAGTCAGAAGTTAAGATGCAAGTGATCACTCGGTCACTGAGTAGCTGGAGGACTTGGACTACTTGCTAAACATCTCTGGTCTGTAATAGGATTGGACTAGATAGCTCTTTTTGTTAGACTATGTCATATGTGCCTAAAACAGCCAAAACTACTTCTTAAAAAGTGATGTAATTCTTATCTGCCGTAAATCTGAGGATAACCCTTCAAATACTCAGTTACGTGTAGCTGCCTCTTGGAAAGAAGTTGGTGCCTGCCAGGCTGATGGCACACATCACAGCGACGCTAGTGTATGCTTTTAGGTTTTGCAATCTGTGTGAAGAGTAAGCTCTTTTTCACACAGCTCTAAAATGGGAATGAAAGCCTACATCATTTTGAGTAAGTCCCTTGAAGTTGATGGCTCAGTTCATATGTTTTTTTTAGCGAGTGATCACTCACTGTTCCTTGTTTGAAGGTAAATGAGAGATCTTTTTTTTTTTTTAAAGGAAAGTGCCATGCTTCATGTAAATGAGATGTCTGTAAGTGATATAAATAACTTAAGAGAAACTGTTACCAAGTGGCATTTTTTTCTTGGGAATTTTTATGTTCATTCTAGCCATCAGTTCTTCTGCACCTGCCTCGGCGGTCCAGCCAGTGCCCACATCCCACGCTTCAGAAACAGCCTCCGGACAGAAGATTGCTGTGCCAGCGACATCACATCATTTTTGCTTTTCAATAGACTTAAGGAGTATCCATGATTTGGAAGTTGGTTTTCCAATCAACTGTATATTAAGGTGTGATCCGATTTTGTCTCCAAGTACTATTTTCTGAAGAGCACATGCCTTTCCTCTCTTTGGAAATTGCAGAGGGAGAACTATCACCGAAGAGGTTCAAAGAGTTGTTAAACCCCTGAATGGAAAATGGGGCCAGGCTCTATCCTCATGACTTTGAATTTAAACCAGGGCAGCATTGGTGGTAGGAGAGCTAATACTAACTGTAGGTATTGATGACAATTTATTCATGCTCCTTTGTAAAAACAAAACAAACAAAAAAAACCAAAGTGACTCTTGAACTGAAAAGGCGTTGTTTCTAGAAAAGGTGGGGGGGGTCAAAATAAGGGAGGTGTGGTATCTGACTTTTCTCTAAGACTTCATTATAATGGGGGGGTTGTGTTCTAATACCTACCCTTGGTAACTGAGACCGTAAGAACCATACTTAATGAACTGCAAGTGGAATGTGTTCACCCTGTCCCATATAAAAAATTGAAATACATATATATTTCAGCCAGTTAAATGGCTTTACTCACTAGCTTGTTTTTATGTTTATTTTTTTAAAGATTTTATTTATTTATTTGAGAGAGAATGAGAGAGAGCATGAGAGGGAAGAGGGTCAGAGGGAGAAGCAGACTCCCCGCTGAGCAGGGAGCCCGATGTGGGACTCGATCCCGGGACTCCAGGATCATGACCTGAGCCAAAGGGTTAGAAGTCGCTCAACCAACTGAGCCACCCAGGCGCCCACACTAGCTTGTTTTTAACAGTAATACATTTTCATCAACTTTTGGCTGAAATGTATATTAAATGTAATAAAATAACGTGTTTTAGTTTGGAGTATTTAGTTTTTCCTTATAAATTTCTTTGGAGCAAGCATTAGCATTTCTAATAAAGTTGTTGCTCCTTATGTGGTTAAAATACAAAAATCTTTCTGTCATTTGGGATTGCCAATGGCAGGAACGTCAGCCACTACACAGCGCTCCCTGCTGGTATTTAAGGCATACCTGCTTTAGATGCATAAATTAACTCCTTGTATCTCAATTTTTCAGTTGTTAGATTCTTATCAAGCTATTGCCAAAATCCTCTGGGCTTTGATGTGAATAATGGACAGAATCAAAGGGACCCAACCCTGAGTCTGATTGTGAATTCACAGAACAGGAGTCTTTCTGTCACAGCTTAAGTTTTGCTTTTTACCTCTTGTTAGAGGCTGAGAATCATTATGAAAATGTTAGTTGAAAATTGAGGGCCAAAAAAGGCTTTTTTTCTCACAAAGCTTTTCTCAGAGAGTTCCTAGAACATCTCTTAAAATGGCTTTTGGAAATAGAATTATTACTTACTTACTTCTTTACCTTTTTGTCTCTCTCCCTCTGTTTTTTAACTGACATCTCTTTACCACTGCTAGTAGAGAATGTGATCTTAGGCTACTTAGAGATGCTGTTAGCCAGAGTGTAGAAATACTGGGATGATCTAAAATTAGAAGCTGTGAGGGGGAAGCCTTGTACCAGCCCACTTAGCAGGCACTCCTTGTAGTTTTGTGGTTCATTCTTGTTCTACGGGCCATTGGTTGACTCATGAAGTGCCTACATTATCCGGCAGTGTGCCTGGTATTAGGGGTTTATGGGCCACGTAAACAAAGAGCTCAACCTCGTGAAGAAGACAGATTGAGGAAGAAGTCAACATGGGAGGGAGGCCAGAAGTCTAGCTGGCAAAGAAAAGGGGGAGAATATCGTAAACCGAGGGTATAGTTATGATTCACTTGATGATAAGAGCCATTGCTTCTGTCTTGGAGTCATTTTATGGCATTTTTAAAAACACTTTAACTTTGAGTTTGATCAATTTTATGGTGTCAGGCTCCCATGAACTATCATGAAACTGTAGTTGGCAACTGCATAATGGGATTTGTGAGATGACCTGATTTCAGTGGCTGTGTAATTATATAGGAATTGAGTGAATGCACAGGATTCTTGTTGTAGGAAGAGCAGTTTTCACTAGTAGGCTTTAAGCTCCAGTTTTCCTAATGAATAACAGGATACAAAATGAAATTTAAGTGAACATTATGTTGTCTTTATATTCGGCTTTAAATAAAAAGTGAGGTTCTGCAGTAGTCAGGCATCCTCCCATTGAATCCGGTGTGGTTTCTGTGATGACAGGAAGAGCACTGTTACTCATTGATTCATCTGCTTTCATCCTTGATTCTCAAAGACAGAATACCATGAGTACACCCTTTTGGCGCTGACTAGTAGGAGTTTTTCTAGCCCATTAACATCAAGACATTATTGAATAAAGAAAGTAAGTTTTGAAATTAAATTCAGCAGGTATTTCTTGAAAGTTTACTCTGTACCCCAAACTGCTTATTTGTTGCTGGGAGGGCACGGATGCAAAAGATGGGACCCGTGCCCTCAAAGAAATCCTAAACCAGTGGCGGCTTGATCTTTTTCTAGTGGACCCACTGTCATTCTTAAGTCTTACTCTTACTTAGACCGTATCAAAATGATGATCTCTTCCTTACTTGGTGTCATTGCCTTCAAAATGCCAGAATTCTTCTTCCCCAGAAGGTCATTCTAGGATCACTTGTAAAGCAGCTTTGGGAACCAGTGCTATACCTGTCATGCATTTTCTCTAGAATTGCTATCATTTTTATATCAACACTGACCGTGTTTGTGGTATTTTAAAGTTGGTGTTAGGACTAAAGCCATCATGTATTTGCACCATTTACCAATTTTAAAAATTGTGTTTCATTAAATTCATATTATATTTAAAAAAAAAAAACAACACAGACTAGAAGTCTTATCTGTCAACTGTATCATAGGACTTTGTTTTCCTTAAATTCTAGGTACTCCTATCCATTCTTTGGTAGTGCGGCTCCTATTATGACTAATCCTCCTGTAGAAGTTCGCAAAAACATGGAAGTTTTTCTTCCGCAGTCTTACTGTGCATTTGATTTTGCAACTCTGCCTCATCAGCTGCAAGATACCTTCTTAAGGTAATATATGTACGGTGTGTATGATATTAAGTCACTCTTGAAAATTTATATCTTGCTAACGAAGGGGACTCCTGGAGTTGTAGATTCCTAGCAGTCAGTGCATTTGAAGACCTAGAAACAAAGGTACTAAGAATGTCTGTGATGTTTGTCCTTCCGCTATCAAGTTTTATGTGGTAATGGAGGCTCTTTGTAGATTTTCATATCTTGTCTTGCTTTGGATGGTCTTAGACCTGTGTTAGTACAATCTATGAGTAAAGAAACTTTGGAAAGTAGTCTTGTTTTTTCATAATATGTGAAGGTAAATACGAGCAAGCTGTTTAGTTTTTATTCTTGATTCACCAGTTGACTGTAGTGTATTACTTGCTTTTTCTGATTTGTCATCTATGACAAATAAAATGGAGGTGTTAATCCAGCTGTCTGAATTGGATTTGTGAAGAAAACTGAAATCTGAAATGTCTTTTTACTTTCTCAGGGTATCACAATTCAAATTTGTATGTTAATTTAAAGGGAAGAAGGAAGAATAAAAAAGAGTAGTATTTGAAGGGTTTTCTTTATTGCACAGAAAGAGGTGTAGAAAATGTAATAGTATTTTCTGTTTGTTACCTGTGGAGCTGAGCCTTTGTGATCCAGGTAACAAGCCATCTTTGAATACATTTAGGGACCTCAGAGATGTTAGGGACCCAGTTCCGAGCTCACAGAGATGAACACTGGTTTCTCTTTTCCTCAGGATTCCATTGCTGGTTGAATTATGGCACAAGGATAAAATGAGTAAAGATTTACTTCTGGGAATCGCCAGAATCCAGCTTTCTAACGTCTTGTCTTCGGAAAAAACTCGCTTTTTAGGTTCCGGTGGTGAACAGTGTTGGCGTCAAACCTACAGTGCATGTGTGCCTTTCATAACCGCACAGGGGTAATGCATTGCCCAGAACTGGTCTTCACTGGCTGTTTCTTCTCAGTAGCTGGTTACAGCCTTGTACTCTCCTGTCTTTGTTCTCCTCTTTCTTCTTTGACCAATGGGGGCTATGTTCTCACTTGCTCTTTAGCCTTCTTTAGCTTTCAGGTACCACTGTACCCATGATACTGTTTTTTTTTTTTTTTTAAGTATTTCCCTCCCCCTCTTAAGCCTGACAATTGTAAATTCTGGCTTTTTTTTTTTTTTTTTTTTTGTAAGTCAAGGTCAGATTTATAATGTATCGTTACATTGTCTTGCATTGGGAATGACTGTTGTTCTACTTGACAAATGTTTTAACTTTTGCTTCAAATCTGATTTCTGAGAAAGTTACAAATGTTTGGCACTTTAAAAAGAGTATTGTTTTTCTGCCCTGGGATTTATTAATGCCACAGTGAAAAACTGAAGCTCATATGTCTTACACAAAAGACATCTTTTGAGTGATCTTTTTAAATTTAGCAACAGAAGTTTAAATAAACTTTAACATTATAAATCACATGCCTTGATTTTTGAAGCGTAATTAAAATGTAGAGAGAAATCCAGCTCCGTAAAAAGCTGAGATCTAAAAGTAGTACTGAAATCCCTTCCCTTGCTCTTGCCCACCTCTAGCCACTTGCAGACAGTGAGGACTTGAGTAAAACTGACTCACTTGGAGGATCTGGGAACAGGTGTTTTACAGTATCAGATATCCTGCTGAGCTGAAAATTCTTTTAAAATACCATTCTTGGGGCCCCTGGGTGGCTCCGTCGGTTAAACGTCTGCCTTCAGCTCAGGTCATGACCTCGGGGTCCTGGGATGGTGCCCCGAGTTGGGCTTCCTGCTCAGCGGGGAGCCTACTTCTCCCTCTGCCTGTGCCCTTCCCCCCTGCTTGTGCTCTCTCTCTCTCTTGTTCCGTCAAATAAGTAAAATCTTAAAAAAAAAAATACCATTGTTTGGTCACATAAGTAGAATATCATGAAAATAATCAGATCATTACTAGTTATTTTAAATCTATGGGTTATGAATATTAACTTTTATTGCCCTGCTCTGCAGACAGAAAAGTTTTAGGAGACCTTTGTAAGATAGTGCTTCATTTTGCGTCATTAGTGTCTTCTAAAAGCTGTGAGATTAGAAGAAAATGTAAAAATTGATTATTAAGGGTTTGCTTGTGTGGGTTCCGTTCACTGAAGTTGTGTTTGACCAAGGGTTTATGGGATAGATTTGATTTAGACAAAGCTACGTTTCTTGTAGCCAAGATTGTATTTTCCTCTAACATTTTAGTAAATGCTCCTTTGTAGTTCTCTGGTAGAGAAATCCTCATTATAATAAAAATTATATATAACTAACCAATTTCCAGGAATTATCCTGAAGCATCAGTCACATCCCGTAAAAGATTTATGTACAAGTGCTTCGCCCTTTTTTTTTGTGGAATAAGAATTTAGAATAATCTATATATAATCAAGAGTAGGGAAATTGTTTTTTTTTCTTAATTTTACTATATAAATTCATTAGGATATTTTACAGGCATTAACACACACATTCTGAGTTAATGTTGACTACATCAGAAAATTGCTCCAGATGGAAATGGAGAAAAAGGGACAAAATGGTTTGATCTTAACATGCATGAGTGCATGTCCCTCTGCACGTACATAAAACAGAGGAGAAGAAGGAAATGAAAGTTTAGCTTTTTTTTCCTATGGGCATTAAGATTTAACATTTCTCCACATCTACAGTGTTAGAGGTCATTTTTTTTAGTAAATGTGGGTATGGACTAATTAGAGTGTTTATGCTCAAGTAAGATCCTGTATGTAGAAGGTCTTGAAGCCTGTAGAACTTAACTGCAGTTGGAGTAGCAAGAGTGTCAGGTACAAGAAATGTGACCTAGTCACTCCTAGAGCTTTGGGGAAATAAAAGGAAAAATAATAGAAAAGGGTTTCCATGAATTTTAAGATATTTCTGATTTCACCTGCAGGTCAAACAACAGGATAATGGATCTTTCTTATACAGTAACTCTAGAAGATTATGGACTAGTAAAAATGCGTGAGATTCTTGTCTCTGATTCATCTCAGGTCAGTATCACTGAGAGTGAAACCTGACTCTTCACAGTGGATCTCATGTGCTACGTGTGGGAGCGTACTGGTTTCAATTCGTTTTCGTTCATGTCTCAGGGTTTATCTGCTGTGCAACAGAAGCCATCTTCCGTTCCTCCAGCACCTTGTCCTTCAGAAGTCCAGACAGAGCCTCGAGAAACCTTAGAGTACAAAGCAGCCCTGGAGCTAGAAATGTGGAAAGAGATGCAAGAAGACATTTTTGAAAATCAGGTTACTTTGTCTACTGACTACATTTCTTTCTTCTCCGTAAGGCTTTTCTCTCTCTGTTCCATGGGTACCCTACCCAGTCCCTCTGAATATCAAGAATGCTTTACTCTTACAGAAAAACAATATAAAAATACTCGTTAAATGACAGCTGGGCAGAAGCCATGCAAGAAGGATTCCCCTAAACTTTCTCTGTGACTCTGGGGCAGAATTAGGACTGAAGGTTAGAAGTCAGAGACTGAAAACTTGAACATTTCTTTTAATTTCAGGCCCTCATGTAGCATACTCTCCTGGAGCCTGGAATTATCTGTCTGGAATCGAGAGAGTTAGAGAACAGGTCTTACGTTAGCTTCATTCTCGTATGGGCGTTCCTTGCCTCAGGCCTTCTCTTTGTTCGGTTTAGGAATAAAAGGGAATTCCTGAAAGATACCTGTGGGTGAACAGTATTAATTCTTTACCACTGAACAACTGATTGGTGTGTTGGAAATACTGATGTGCTTTCTGTGACTTTTTTGTCTTCCTCTTGTAGCTAAAGCAGAAGGAATTGGCTCATATGCAGGCTCTGGCAGAGGAATGGAAGAAAAGAGACCGAGAGAGAGAATCGCTTGTAAAGAAAAAGGTAATAACTTCTATAGAAACAAAGGTGGAAAGGAAAAATATTAATGATAGTATCTTGTACATGCATAAAGAAAATCTGTGGAATATCAAAGTATAGTGGTTGTATATTGGCTTGGATAAAGTGGATGAATCGGTCAGGAGTAGGAGGAAGGCCTTTCTCTTAAGGAAAAGTTTGGTGCTTTTTCGATTTTGAACCCTGCAAATGTATTATTCTTTCGAAAAATGAATATTCTAGGAAAAAAGCCTACTTCCATATGAAAAAAAACAAGACATCTAAGTATATATAAATGTTATAATTTGTTAGTTAATAAAAAAGCATCAAAAACTTATAAGCTCTTTTTAAGAATTTAATTCTGGAATAAATGACATCTTTAAAAATAAAATGAGACCATCTGATCTTACTCCAGAAAGCAAAAGTTCAATATTTACTTATTTACACTCAAGTTATTGAGTAAAACAAAAACCCTGAAAATTAGACTTGTTTCAAGTATTGAAATTTAACTTTCATATTAGTGGTTAATGATGTATCTGTAAATGGGAGGAGACAACCAATGGCAAGATGGTTTGCTGCACTTGACCAAGAGACAGGAGCAGGGTGCGGGCTAGAATATTCTTGAAAGTTACTTTCTTTTTTTTTTTGATTTCAACCATTTACATTTAATGGGTAATTATTGACATGGTTGGGATTTTTTTTTTTTTATGTTTGGGTTTAAATCTACTCTGGTTTTCCATTTATTCCATCTTAGTTTGTTTTTTTGGTTTTTTTGTTGTCTGCTTTTTCCATTTTTTAGATTTATGATTTTTTTTTTTTTTTTTTTTTATTTTTACTATTATCTTATTAGCTGTACCTCTGTTTTACTTTTTTTTTTTTTTTTTGGTGGTTGCTTTAAGGTTTAAAATATGAAGCATAATATGCTTCCAAGTGCTATTCTACCACTTCCTGCGTAGCGTAAGAAGTTTACAATAGTACGTGTCCAGCATACGTCTCTTTGTGTTGTTACCATCATAGATTTTGCTTTTACATGTATTGCCCTAAAATGTATTTTTGCTTTACAGAGTTAGTTTTTAAAGAAGTAAAACTCTGAGGCTGTAGTCCTTTTTTATTACCCAAATACATAACATTTCTTTGAGTATGGGTCTGATGACAATAAATGCTGTCAGCTCTTAGGTGAAGAGGTGTTTATCTCTCCCTCATTTTGAAATAAATATATTTTCACTGGGTATAGAATTCTCGGTTGACAATTTTTTGTTTTAATCTTGAAAGTTGTTTCATTTGCATTTCTATTTGTGTTGTTTCTGACAGAAAATTTGCTTTTTTTTTTACCTTGGCCCTCTATCTGTAATGTCTTTTTTCTCTGAACTGCTTTTAAGATTTTTTTCTTTACCACTGGTTTTCAGCATTATGATTTTGATGGGCCTTGTGCTTCTGTGTGTGTGTCTGTGTGTGTCTGTGTGCGTGTGTTCACCCTGCTTGGAGACTTTGAGCTTCTTGATTATAGGGTTTCATCACGTTTGAAACAGTTTGGGTTTTTATTGCTTAAAATTTTTTCCTGTGTCTCTTTCTCCTCTTGTGCTTGGATTGCAATGTACGTGTATCTTAGACTGCTTGATATTGTCCCAGTAAGAAGTGAATTATTTAAGTTTTTTTTTTTCCTTCTCAGTGCTTCATTTTGGGTATTTTTTATTACTGTGACTTCAGGTTCACCTGTCTTGTCTTCTGAAGGGTCTAATTTGCCATGAATCCATTTGAACATAATTTTTCATTTCATATACTGTACTTTTCATCTTTGAAAGGTCCTTTTGGGCCTTTCCCCTTTTTTTTTTAAACATACTCCACTTTTCCTCATGTTCATGTTTTCCTTTTCAGTATCTGCACTATATTTATAATATGTTATCTACTAGTTCCAACATCTGTATCATTTTGAGGTCTCTTTCTGTTGTTTTTTCACCTGGTTATAGGTTACATTTTTCTCCTTCTTAGCATGACGGGTAATTAATTGTTAAGATACCAGAAATTGTGAAGTTTACATTGTCAGTTGCTGATCTCATTATGATGTGAAGTTACTTGGGATGAGTTTGATCCTTTAAAGTTTGGCTGGGGTGAGTTGAGAACATCCCGTAGCCTTGGGCTCCGGAGCAGTATGTAGATGCCTGGTTTGTCACAGGGTCTCTCCCCTCACGTAGGAATGCACACACCTCTCAGACCTGTATGAGCTCTGGGAATGCTTCATCTTAGAGGTTTCCAGTGGTAAAGTGCCCAGCCATTGGGGTTTCACCTCAGACTGGAGCAGACGACTCTGCAGGTCTCAGGTGCTCACTCTCGCCGTGTCTCCCTCCTCTCCTCACCAGCTTGACTCGCCTCATCCTCTTCAGTCTGTCTATTGCCTCAACTCAGCCAGATTGCGAGGGTCTGCTGGGTCCCCCCTTCTCTGAGCTAGAGTCTAGAAAGTGCCTCCAGGAAGTCCGCTAAAGTTCCTGTTAGGGCCTCATTTGTTTCTGCCCTGTCAGGGATGATGGTCCTGGGCTGCCCATTCTCCAGTGTGTGAAAGCAGTTGTTTTGTGTGGGTTGTTCCATTTGTGTTGGGGGGGGGGCAGTTAGTCTTCTATGGGTAGACCGAGCAGAAGGCCCCCAAGCCTTTGACTTTAAAGTAACTGTTTCAACTTTATCTCCCTTAATTCTCAACCATTAAAAATTTGAAAAACCAGTGAATTAAAAGAAAAAAGATAATAGGACCACTCTAAAGCATCTGTTCTTAAATACTCAAATAACTGAAATTAAAAAATTTAGAGGCCTTCACACATAAACTTTATAGTAGTTGTACTAAGTGTGACTTTTATATTAAGTAGCATTTACAGTTCTCCAGTATCCTTTATGAATTGCATCTGAGCCATCAAATATTGAAAGTTTTTTAATTTTTCTTTAAGACTTTATTTATTTGACAGAGACAGAGACAGTGAGAGCGGGAACACAAGCAGGAGGCGTGGGAGAGGGAGAAGCAGGCTTCCCGCTGAGCAGGGAGCCCGATGTGGGACTCGATCCCAGGACCCTGGGATCACGACCCGAGCCGAAGGCAGCCGCTTAACGACTGAGCCACCCAGGCACCCAAAAGTTTTTTAATTTTTCATTTAGCTTTTAAGGCAAGACGAGTTTATTGTTGAACCATTTTTTAAAGTGCTGTTGAAGAGTTTTTCAGGGTTGAGGTTTGCAAAAGTCAAATCCTGAAAAAAAAAAAAAAAAATAATTTTGACAAATCCACCTTGCGCCCTAATTGAACTTTCTATTGCAAAAAAAAAAAAAGAGAAAAAAGTTTTTGTGTAATGAGTTGGAAAAAAAAATGATTTCTGGTTGGTTGTCATTTTGCTATTATCTTTTCAATTGGCTTCTAATATATACAGATTCTTCTACCATTTCAGCTTGAATTGACAAGCTCCTGATTAGTTAATAAGAACTCTGCTCAGAAAATGGAATATGATATCTGTCTAGTAAGTGGCTCAGCTATTTATTTGAATTAGTCATGTCAAAAAGTAGATTGGATGTTGCCATTTTATTTCAACCTAAATACGTTTGAGAGTTACAACTCATCCAGTGTAACATGTGCTCTGTCTTGCAAGAGTATGGTCAACTAGGATGAGATCTGTTTTTCTAAAACTTGGTAAGTTACTGTAAAATTGAGTCCGTTGGGAGGAAAAAGCAATTTTTTCCTCAATAGGATGAAACCTTTTCAAGCTAAATTCTCTGAGAATCTCACCATACTATTTTTAGGTCTAAAATGTATGAGCCTTTTCGGTTCATTTATTTTCACTTTATTTACCTGTTTTCTTCAAAACAATATGTAACTTCTTCAACAGTTAGAAAGTTTACCTGAAGGAGTCTGGATAATACTGGTGGAACATTATGCAGTCATTTAAATTTCATTTTATTTCTCCTGTTTGGCACAAAATAATTAGTTAATAGTAAAATGGAACTCATCTGCTTATTATGAGGAACTTCTATCTTGCCTTACCAAAAAGATGCTAACCAGCTAATAGCCCACCAATTCAGGATGTAGTGGTGGAAGGAGTATATCTAGTAAAATAAAACCATATATAATTAGATCTCAAAGATACTATTTTTTTATAATAATAAGTTACTATCTTAAGCTTATGATAGGCACCTAATGATATATATCTTTTTTTGTTCATCTTTTGGGACCATTTTGGAGGCATTATTTTGTTACCTGAAAAGGAGCAGATTGTTTTTGTGGAAATTTCTCTGTTTGAAAAAATAGTTTATTCTCTGGAGTTATACATAAACTTTTCCCCCAAATAAATGAGGCCTTAGTTAACCTTGAAACAGATAATATAATGATCTGTCTACCACCCACTTGGGGCCTTTGGGGTGAAGTGAATATACTAAACCTTTATTTCCAGAAACCAGCATATTGCTAATGACCTGGTTGTACAGACGGATATGCTAAACCCAGGGATTGTTAACTAATGAATGTGTCTTAAACTAATTTATGAGTAGGATACTCTGGTCCTGTTCTGCCTTCTTCATAGCTGAGATCATGTTTATTCTGTCTTCTACGTGACTTCCCATCAGATAGCTAAAGATCGCTGTCGTGTACCCACAAAGAAGGAAGACCTCCGTTCTACATAAGGGAATAGTATGAGGAAGTGTTTCATGGATAAGATTATGCTTTTACTTGGATAAAGATTAGTAGATACTACCAGGTGGACTCAAGGGACATTCCAAAGAAGTTTGAAATAGGCTTGGCATTAAGAAAATTGCACGTAGGTTGATGTGGAAGAAGGGAGGAGAGGGTATGCCTCAAGAAATAAGGCATAGAGAGGTTTATGGAATGTAAATGCTCTTCTGTTCCATTTTGAGGAGGTTAGACTTGATCCCGCAGACTTTCTCATCCGGGGTTTCCTGAGATAATTAAGTCCTAATGCTTGCCAGCATCCACTGTAGCTAATGGATTAACTTGATCCTATGCTTCTACATTGGTAGAGAAGACAGAGAAAAAAATTACTTGAATCATTTTTTTTATGTTCTGTGGTTCAGCTGATAACCCAGCTTGGGAAAGGTAGAAATTTGAGAAACTTATTTTTTTAATGAAGTCTTACATAAGAGAACCAGGAAATGAGATTTTCATTTTTGAACAGTCATTCTGGTGGAAGTATAGTGGACAGAATGGAAGAGGGTGAAGCTGAAGTCAGGAAGACCAGGGAGGCGGTAATATATGTAAAAGAAGAGGAAGGCTCAAAAGTCAGAACAGTGATAAGGTGGTAGAGAAAAGGGGAACGGGAGTTAAAGGGAGTGAAGGAGGTTTAAGATCTGAAGCCTTAAGGGATACTCATTGCTACCCAACGCTCCTCCTCTGTCCCTAAGCAGTTCACTCCCTCTCCAGAACGGTTCTCAGCCAAGGCTTCCGCATCCTTACCCAGTTTGATCTTTCCCTTTCTGAAACACTTCCTTTGCTTGACCTCTCCTCCTGTAACCTTCCTACCGTTCTGCCGAATTCACTGGTCTCCCCTTCCCAGTTTTCATGCTGGATCATTTTTTTCCCCTCAGCCTCTGCTGGGTTTATTGGCTTGCCCCAAGGCCCAGTCCTTGAAACTCTTTTCTGTTTTTACATTTCTTCTGGTGTTGTCCTCCACTTTCTTACTGTCATATACAAGTAAAATACAAGTATGCATATTATATATAATATATGTGTATTATATATAACACATATCCACTTGCATCCCCTTGCCTCTTCTCTGGACTCTGCACTTTGCTGTTGACACTGCCCACTGATTGTCTCATAAGCAACTCAAATGTGACCTAAGAACAAGCTCTGTATCTCCCTCCTGTATAAATTTGTTCGTGTTGATTCCCCATCTTAATAAGTGGCGATGCCTTTTACTCAGCTTCTCAGGCTACAGGGCAAGTTATCCTTGACTCTGATTCTGCATCTAGTTTATTAGCAAATCCTCGTGGCTCCACACTGCATATGTATCCTGGAAACGAACCACTTTGAGCCACCTCCTTCACAACTTTATGTCTCGCCTAGATGACTTCTCTCCTAGTTACTACTTAACTCAGCACCCCTTCCTCTTTCCTGACCCCGGTAGCTGGTTATGTCCATATCAGCCAAGAGGGAGGCTTTTAAACCAAAAGTCAGACAGTGCATGCCTTTGCTAAAACCTGTCATGCTCTTCATGGCACATAGAATAAAACTCACATTTTGTACCAGGTCCTACAAGGCCTTAGGTGACCTGTCTCCTAGCTTCCTCTGTGACCTCACTTCTGTCAGCCTCCTGCTACAGTCTGTTCTTACCAACCTGGCCTCCTTGTAGTTCACCAGATGTGCTAAGCCACGTCCCCTACCTCAGGATCTATGGAATGTCCTTTTGTTAGAAGTACTTTCTGGTCTCTGTTCAGGATAATCCGAGTGCTGCCTTCTATGATCATTATATCCAAAATACGCCTTCTTCTTTTGCTTCTAGTCATTAGCTAGACATTCATTCTGCTTATTTTCATCCTGGCATTTACTTAGGATTACATTAAATATCCACTTCCTTGTTCATAGTTGGTCCTCCTCAGAATATAGGTATCACAGGACTTTCTTTTACCCACATCTGCTAGGTTTTCAGTAGATATTTATTTAAATGATGATGATTTCCCATTTTTATACATTTTTGAGTTTGAGAGACCTAGGGAGCATTGGCATATGCAGCAGATCCTTGGGCTTAGAGGTCCGAACCTCTGGAAGGGGTTTTGACTTGGCAGGCTGGATTTGGGAGTGCTCCGTATACGTGATGGTAGGTGGTTTGGGTCATCCGCAGAGGTCATGTAGCAGGAAAGGAGACCTCCTGAGACAGGGCTCTGGGAATGCACACGTTTGCGTTGCCAGAGGCAGAACATTGGAATTCTGACTTTTTTTCCTGTTTCCCTATCTCTGTAAGACTTTATAAGGAGGTAGGGCACACTTAGTTGTTTTTTTGTTTTGTTTTTTAGGTAAACCAAAAGTAGGTGGTTAACAGAATTCTTACGTAAGTGATCATGATTGGTTGGTATGTCGGGCCTAAATCACTGAAATAAAGTTTAACAAGGACAAATGTCAAATTCCGTAGTCACAGCAGTCTTCTGGACAATAGTTATGTGGGTATAGTTATCCCAGGTTTAAAAACAAAAGTCTTGGGGGAATTTCTTTGACACAACAGATGGCGTGATCAGGATCCTGAAATAGCACATGCGATTTTAGATGAAGTTAATGGACTTGCTGTTCTTGTCTCAGGCAGGCGACATTCTTTGGCTTCAGAAGTAGTGAGATCATATCGGGCTACCACATTTTTTAAAAGACTTAGTCTAGAATCTAGACTCTAGATTAAATCTAAGATATTAAGATGTGAAAATCAAAATATGTGAATAATAGCGAGAACTTCTGTTTATCTTGGATTTTTTTTTCTAGGAGGGTATATGATGGGTATCACCAGATGCAACTATGTGCAGATAGAGTTTTTTTTTCTTCTGTCTAACGGGTACAGGTAAGGTTCAGGAGGATCAAACCAAGGTCCTATTGACTACGGGAAAAAGAAGATTAAGATGCGGCCTGGGATCTGGAGACTAGTTGGTGAGGATAGACAGACTGGCTCAGAAAGTCCTATTAAAAATGATCAGTTACAAATGAAAGACAGGAAACTGTCAGATTCCTACATGCTGTGTAGGCTGAGCCAGCGGACCTCTTATTCTGAATGGGACTCACAGGGTCGAAGAGCAGAGCAGGACTGCAGGCCCGTAGCAACCGGGGTACTAGCCCAAGCAGGGAGTGTGGCTTCAGAAGCGATCATGGAACTGCAGGAAAGGATGAGATCTGAACCAAGAGGAGGACAGACTTGAAACTGACTAGCTGATCTAGCAACAGGATTCGTTCTAGGGAAGGAGCATAAGTGATGAAGGGGGGCATCGGAGAAATACCGGAGTGTTGACCAAGGCAGATTTTAAGGAGCTAGATGTTGCCTGAACATAGGATTTTACTAGCAGTCTGATTGTCCAGTGGGAGAAAGAGCTTCCTCGGGAAACTGAATGTCACTAGAGAGAGCCAAGCAGAAGCGAGATGGGCTTCCTTCCTTAGAGTACTGGGAAGAATTTCTACTTTGAATTGGTGGATGTAATTCATGATCTTCCTATTCCCACGTCTTGTGTTTCAGTAAGTTATAATGCATGCATCGTTGAATTTGTTCATGTTTTGAATTTGGGGAAAATGTAATTTTTCTTTTATCGTACTTTAGGTGGCTGAATATACTGTTCTAGAAGGAAAACTTCAAAAAACCCTAATTGACTTAGAGAAGCGAGAGCAGCAGCTTGTCCTTGCAGAGTCAGAGGTAACTGTATTCCTCTATCATACGTCATTTCCCAGAATCTGTGTTCTAGGTCCATACTATTATTTTATTTTTCCTTTATGCCCATATAAACTCCGTTTCATGGAAGCTGTCTTGTAGGCATCATGGAGAAAACTGCTGTTCAATAATAGGTCAGAATGTGAGGAATAGATAGTGAAATACTTGTTATTAGAAATGTTGATTGTTACTCAGCCAGCTTTGGCTGATGTCTGCAGTTGTAGAGACTTCTGGTTAAGTTCCCCATTATGGGGAAGGAAGGGAGAGTTGCACTACCTAGAGAAATAGAGAAAATGTAGCACAGGCTCAGTGGCCTAGCCTTCTGACCTTGTTCTCAGTAAGAAAGGAATACTCTTCTTGGTTGCCCATTAAAGGTTAAATCCGAAGGATGGATGAAAACTTCTGTTAGTGCTACACCTAGTTAGCAATTTTGTTAGGTCGTACTAAATTTTACCCTAGATGTTTATTTAAATTACTACAAAAGTCACTTCAAAATAATTAGAATTTACCCCACATTAAATGTATATGCCCTTTCCCTAACCCCATGTGTTTCTCAGAATTTTTCTCAGCATCTCTCTCTAACTTTGTCCTCACATTTTCTGGAATTTCTAAGTTGATTTGGAAACAGGTATATTTAAGGTCAAACATCTAATACAAAGGCTCAGTCACCTTCTGTATTACTAGGCAGAATGTAAGAAATTTTGTGGTTTATTTTTAGTAGGCTCCATGTTTTAGTAGGCTACACCCTGAAATCATTTTTTTTTTTTTTTTTAAGAGTCGGCTGCTTAACCAACTGAGCCACCCAGGCACCCCCATTTTTTTTTTTTTTTTTAAGATTTATCTATTTGAGAAAGAGTGTGCATGAGCAGGGGGAGGGGTAGAGGAAGAGGAAGAAAGAATCTTAGATGGTGTCAGACGCTTAACCGACTGAGCCACCCAGGCACCCTCAAAATATAAGAAATTTCTAAAGAAGAAACGAAACTTGGGCATATTTGCTTAGATAATACAATGGATTTTATTCAAATAGAAATTTTAAGTTATTAGAGCCTTTTCAATTGAATTTATGCGAGTCATATATGGAGTTTTGGATATACTTTTTATATTAGAATTAAATGATGGATTAAAATGTAGAATTTCAGTATGTTTAAACATTAACTCTAATAACGGAAAAGGATATGGAGATAAATTTGTAAATCTTCCAAACATTGACTGTATAGAAGGATAATAGACTACTGAACAGTGTCACATGGCCAAGAGCAAGCCCACCTCTTACAGACGCACCTGTTGTCAGGTTCAAAGAGAGAGAAAGGAACTGAAATTAGAACGTGAACGGAACCTGCAAGAACGTCAGGACTCTATCCGGAGGGCCAGAGAGGATTGTGTTCATCAGGTCGAACTAGAAAGGTTGAAGATGAGACAGCTAGACGAGGACAAACTCCGACTGCAGCAGCAGGTGGGAGCTCGAGCTTCTCTGTATTCACTGACAAGTGAGAAAAATACACAGTAAATCGAACTTGTTGATTATATTGATTGCACCGAGATTCAGATCGACTTTATTAAAGTCAAATCTTGTTTTCCTAAATCAAAGCTAAAGGTGACGTTGGGATAATGTTCCTTCCCTTATCATTATTCACATGACAAAGAACTAAATTTGACACCACAAATTCTTTTTCTGACAAATTTCGTTGTGGCCAATACATTGTTCATGGACTGTTACATAGAGGTCTCATGTAAAAGATGAAAGATCAAGTGGTAGAAGTGGGCAGTCGGGATGGGGTTCACCGGTCGTGCTTCTTCCCTTCTTCCACTTCTTAGGAAGATCGAGCCTTCTAGAATAGAGGCTTCTAACATGCATTAGATTCACCAGGGAATCTTTTTGAAAAACCCATTTCTACCTTGTCCCAGACTGATGTAATTAGCTTGCATCTTTGTGGGAAGCACCTTTGTGGCACAAACTGGTATTTTGGAAAAATTAACCCCAGGCACTCCTCGAGAACATAGTCTGAGACCTGGGGGAAACTTGGCAGGGGAGTGAGGAGGGAGCTGTGGGGCAGCCCACGTGTCTGGGAGCTGAAATTGCTCAGCCCTTCACTGGGAACATGTCACAGTTTATATAAAAGAACACATTCTAGGCCCTGAGTCAGAACTAGGTTCCATATACTCAGCACACAGTTCTAACTAGACAGGTAGAAAGGACAAAAAGACACCCTGTCAGTGAAAGGTGATCAAGTATCTTTATTACAGTATATAGAAGCGAGTCACACAACCCAATCCATGTTGTTTATGGACCACTTAGCCAAAGAAAAAGAGCCCCTTACGCCTCATAGCTTACTTCTGTACAGCCTGATTGGGGCCACAGTAATTATGATGTTGTCTCTGGATGGTGGAAAAAATAACAAATACGAAGTCTGGTAGCTTTTGTTTAAAACAGAAATAAATGTGACAGAGATGCTTGAGAAAGGTTCTAGTTCAAATTTAAAAATAAAAGTTCAGATATTCAGAGAGGTAAACTTCAGTCATACGAAGAATTTTCAGGTAATGGAATACCTCATTACCTAAAGATGCTAGATAAATCCTAAATAGAATTATTTGTATTTACTGGCATGAAATAAGAATTTATTATTGACAAGTTCCATTTCTGTCACAGATTTTCTCAGTATTTCAAATTCAGTTAAGTCTTATGTCTTACAAGATACATGGGTTTATCTAATGATTGGTAGTCATAGTGTTACATGTTTTTGGAAGGTATCTTTAACAGTGCTTGTTTTCATTTGATTTGATCTGGGATTTTTTTTAATCAAAAAGAACATTTTTATATCCTGTGTTTTTGGGTTGGGGGGTTTGGTAGTTCTGAATCTGTTCAAAGGGGAGTTATATATAGACTTAAGTCAAGGCGGTCTCTCTCTTTTTTGAATTTAACGAAGTATTTGCCTGCTCTCATCAGAGCATTATTCTAGGGGATGAAGAGATCTGGATGCTACTCATGTCTCTGCTACATCCTGGCTCTTAGGCACTGCCTCCATTATTGAGCTTCTGCAACCTTTAAATTTCTTAGCCACAAAAATGAAGGGATTGGGCCAAATCATCTTGAAATGACTTTAACTTGTAATAGTATTTGAATTATGGGGTTCTTACAGCTTCAAATAATAAGAAAAAGAAATACTGCACTAAAAGTTTTTGTTTTCCTCTGTAATTAGCTGGTATATCTATAATGCACAATATTTTCTTACATGTGACATCCTAAGTATGTAGTATTTTTATAAGGTGAATTTCATTTGCCATCTAAAATCTACCAAAAAGGTTCTGGTGATACTGGTTTTATAACAAATTTCATATTCTTAAAAAGTTTTTGTGTATTGTTAATTTTCATTACACCTCAGGGATTTTCTAAATTTTCTATAAACATGCCTTAGCATAAGGAAAATATGACACTGTTGCATCGAATTCTATAGTATTGAACTTAGCATACCGGTGTTTTTTAATGGCTGTACTTTTCTTCTTTTTTAAATACAGCTTACTGATGCTGAAAATAAGTATAAGATTTTGGAAAAAGAGTTTGTTCAGTTCAAGGATCAGCAAAGCAACAAACCAGAAATCCGTCTACAGTCTGAAATAAATCTCCTCACCTTAGAAAAGGTACCCATGTCAGATTATAGCAATTTAATTCTAATAATTTATAAAGTCAGTAAGTATTACTTGAATATAAATTGCAGTAACATTTCACTGTAGTGTTCTGATGTCAGCTAAGAACAGAATTCTAGACACACGACATCGTCAGTAGTTAAATTTCTTGGCTTTTATCCGTTTTCTCAGTTCTGGCTTAAACTGATCAGAGTTGTTGGTTGCAAACCACATCAGTGACTAACTGTAGGAACAGAGGAATCCCCAAAACTTTCAGGAAGGCTACAGAACAAGTTTCAAAGTAGGAGCAAGAACCAGGGGCCGCACAGCATGGCCTGGCCTGTCCCCAAACCGTCTTCTCTTGCTGCTGTCATGGCTGTGTCCTTGGATTTCTGTAACCCCCACTTCTGGTGCCGGTCTCACCGTCGGGAATGCTCGCTGTGTATCACTGTCCTTATCAGATTCAGCATCCCGGACCGGAGCATTCATTACAAGCCCGCACTCTCCTCTTAGAAGAGGATGGACATCCCCGCTTCCAGGCTGTTTCCTGTGGTTGGAAGCCAGGTCCTCCCTCTATTTATCTGGGGATTCACCACCAACAGAAGTATGTTCTGGTTCCTACTACATAGGAAAATGACACAGGTTATAAATAAGAAAATAATCTGTAGAAGTTAAAGGCCACTAGGGGGCACCCTCAGAAGATTGGCGGACAGAAGTTGGGAAGACGCCAGGGTAGTTCTTTCTTCTGTCTCTCTGCTTCTCTTACTTCCTCGGGTAGTAGGTGTACTTTATGGTCCCCTGTCCTACCAGACAGCCCTTCTCTCAGCTTGCCTTGGGCCATCCGCACTGGGGCTCTAGCGCACTGGACAACCCCTGGCTCTGGGTTCTGGGGATGTAAGAACTCCTCCCGCTACTTCCTTCTGGAGCCCCTCCTACCCCAGAGAGGTAGGGACTGGCTGATCCTGCTCACCCCGGGGGGCGGGGGCGGGGGCGGGCCTCACCCGATCCCCTCCGGCATTTCTGCTTTTCCATTACCTGCATCACCAGTTGCCTGCATTAAGTTAATCTCTTTTGAAGACCTAGAGTGGTGTCTGGTTTCCAGGCAGGATGCTGATGGACAGAACTGATCTTTCATTATCCAGCAAAGATGTATGTTCTCTGACACTGCGCTAAATGCTATTATGAATGATTAAAAAACGTTCAGCATAGAGTCAACTAAATGACAAGTCATACAGAGAGGCAGGGGACTTACCTAGATGATCAAAGTGAAAGGAAGATGATGGCTGGTACCATCTAAGTTTGTGTTACTAAGAGCCATGAATGTAAAGGGGAGACAAAGCTCCTTCTAGTGAAATCATGAGACTGGATATGGAACCTAAAGGACACATGACCTCTTAATGGGTGACTGTGTAGGGGAGGATATTCCAGAAAGAGGTATTCAGGCAAAGTCTATTACGTATTTCGGTAGTAGCTTGACTAGAACCTAATCATTATTGTCCTAGTTTCAAAATAAAAATGGGACTGCTAAGAGAATGCTGGAGATGTGATTTTTGGTCCTATGAGGGGGAAGACCTTAGGTGGTAAGTTAAAGCACTTGTATTTCATCTGGTAAGAAAAGTCAGAGATTGCTGTCAAGTTAATCACATTGGCTTCATGGATATTAATGGCAGTGAAGAACTTTGAGGAGGTGGAAGTTGTAGAGAATTCTGGTTCTAGACGTATTACACTTGAGATGCTAGCCAGACAATGGAAGTGGAGCAGCTGACCGAGTGGTTAAAAATGGGAAGTACAGGAGGGAGAGAGAAAAGGGCTAGACCTGCAGACTGGGGAGTCAGCCTTAGATGCAGACGCAGCGGCCTGAGGTGTGCCGAGGAAGGACCCCTGACCGCTTCAGGGGCAGCACAGCCTCAGGGACAAAAGGCGAGAGAGATTCAGAGGAGTAATAACAGTCTAGTGCCCAGAAGAGGACGGTTTCTGAGAATAAGTAGTAGAGGTCATCTCTCATGAAGGGCAGGTCAAGAACGGTGGACGAAGGGCCATGGCTTTGGCAGGTAAGAAGTCACTAACTTTGGGGCGCCTGGGTGACTCAGTTGGTTAAGCGACTGCCTTCGGCTCAGGTCATGATCCTGGAGTCCCGGGATCGAGTCCCGCATCGGGCTCCCTGCTCAGCGGGGAGTCTGCTTCTCCCTCTGACCCTCTTCCCTCTCGTGCTCTCTCTCTCTCATTCTCTCTCTCAAATAAATAAAATCTTTAAAAAAAAAAGTCACTAACTTTGAAGAAGCCAAATTGCAGGGGCTTATTGAAAAGTTTGGCACTGGAAAAAACCGAAACAAAATATAACCCAAGGGCTTCACACTGCTGAAAAAAATCTTATATGGTGGTAGAAAAATCTACAAATACTTTCTTGTAAAAACAAGAAGAAATTCAGCTTTAAGAGAGGAGGGGATGAGTGGACCATGAAAGAGTTTTTCCTGGGAAGTAGAGACACTATTAAAAAAAAAAAAAAAAAAAATTTTTTTAGAAAAGTTGGAGACAAGAATTAGACTGTGGTTAAAAAAAAAAAAAAAAAAAATTTTTTTTTAGTTGAAGCAGATATTAACCAGTTTGTCTCTACAGCCTGTCCATGGCTGTGCTGTCTTTGGTTCCTTTTCTTCCCCAACGTGGGCTTGACTGCCCAGCGTGGTTGATGCTGCTGCTTACATATCGGGACAGTCTTTGCGTTTTTCCATTTGATTTGGTGGGCTGTTCATTTGTCTACCAGTGAACTTGAATTCAGCCGGACATTCTCAACCCCTGTTTGGATAAAAACAAGTGTTCAGCTATTCCCGTGTTGACAACTACAGGTTCTGTGGTACCCGCCAAAGACCGCTGAAGCGCACAAACAGAGCCTCAGCCCATCTCACAGGTCCTGTTACGCAGGTGTCAGGATTTTCGTTTTACCATTTTACCTTCAGAGACTACCTGTCTCAAAATCAGAACAGAAGCACTATCTTTTCCGAATATAAACTTGACACTTTCCAGCTTAGACATATATTTTAAGTGATTTTCAGAATCCCTTTTTCCAACTATACTTCTAGCGAAAGGATGAAAATCACCCAACATATTACAAGTGAAAACAGGGCCATGAAGTTAAGAGCAAGAGGGAAAAATGACTAGGTCAACTGCCCCTGCACCAGACCTAAAGAATTCATCCAGCATGTGTGAGTGTTCAATAAAACAAGCCTCCTCTGCTCTTACGAAAATTCTTGGTAAGTTTTTTTTGGAGCCAGAAGAGGGCAGAATCTTATTTCTTATTTCTGCATAATAACAAAGACCTAAAAGCACAAAAATGAAGACATAAGTGAAAAAAGTAGCTGATTCCCTATATAATCTTCTGGTTTTGTCTGACTGAGCTTTTCCTTTCTGATTACCCATTCTCTTGAGTGTAAAAGAAGTATTTCCATTTTCACGAAATGGTGTATAAATAAGGTACCGTTTTACCAAATATAATTCCTGATTCCTTTTGTTATCTAAGAAGTCAGTAATAGTTTATGATTTGCTTTTCGGTAGGAGTCTCTTAGATGGCTTAAAAATAATTCGGTTTTTAAATAAATGAAATATGGAAAATAATTTAGTAGGACAGACTGAAGATGAAGATAAACGCTGAAATTTTCTTAGTTAAGATCATTTGGTAGCTACTGCTCCTCCACCCCTGTCTTAAGGCAAAGGGAAAGATGAGAGGAAAAAGAGAAGAGAAAAAGCACATTATCCTTTGGGACCTCACTTTTAAAGAGTTTGTAATGAAATTACAAGGAGATGACTCAACCTTAAGTGACTGTGTGTGAATCAAATACCAGGGAATTTGATAGAAACTCTTTGCAATTTAGAAAATAGTAGTAGAAAAAAAACAGCTTCATGGAGGGGTAGCTGAGCCTGAAGCTTCAAGTTTTAAGTTAGAGTAAAAAAAGAAGTAACTGGCTCAGGAAGTTAATGGGCCAGGGGAGGTGGTATACAGGACAACGGACCTGGGGGCTGGAGGAGAGGGTCTTCCTGTTGAGGAAAACCCAGGAAATACGTTCAGCAAGTAGGACAGAAGTGAGATTTTGGAACACCGTGAAACCTAGACAGAGGCGTATAGGCTCAAGATTGCAGGCAAGTAGCAGTGATGGCAGATTTTTTTAGCAGAGAGGAAAGTGGGATGTGTAGATAGAAAAAATTTGAGGCTGAAGAGACCAGAGAAGAGGAAAAGAACTTGGACTAAGGAAATGGCAGTAGGAAAGGAAAAGAATAGAACCACCAAGTTTTTCCAGGGAGAAATCAATATAGTTGCTTGTGACAGACTCAGACTAGGAAGTAGGGCATCAGAGACAAAGCCAGTGCCCCTCCGTCTCGTAGCGAATGACAGCTGTGGGCATAGAGATAGGGAGATGGGAGCAGCAGTGAGCACGGGTCTCTCAACTGACTCTAGGTCCTGATGTGAGTTTTCACGCCGGAAGTCTGTAACTGGGCTCATGATCTAAGGGTACAGGCTAGCTCAAGCCTCGGATCTACTCAGAGTGAGATGTCTGAACTCGAGGTCTGTGAATGCCCTGGAATTATATCAGATCTTCAGTCGTGTGCATGTTTCTGGGAATTGGGTCCATGTGTTTCTTTAGAATCACAGAGGCACCTATATTCTTAAAAAATAAAGGTAGGGATCATTGTTTTTTTCAAAGGAATGAATTAGAAAAGTGAGGTTTGTATCTGAAATTTGCTAACTACAGTTTTTTTATTTAAGCGTGAATAACTACACAAATGGGAATTATTTTGATAATCATGGCAAAACTGATAAGACCTTATCCCGCTTTTTCTGTGGAGTCAGTCCCCTAGGTATATGTGACCCCTCTGGTTTCATCCCTGTCCTAACCCTCATCCTTGGGCCCATCCAGACGGCTACACGTTCTCCAAGACCCACGGACATGATCGCTTTTATAATTAAATAGCACTCTTTTATCTCAGAGCTGTAAAAAGATTTTCAGTATTCCTCTGACTGATGCCCTATTGTTAAATTACCAAGTAATACGGATAAATTTGGGGGGGGCATAAGCAGAAGAGTTCATCTTTGATAATCTCACAGTTACTCACCTTAAGGCGTGTAAGTCTCGTTGTGAAATGTCAACACCTTTAAATCCAAGCACCAGGGATTTGTGAAGCAGAAAAGACCTTGACTCCATGAAGTCATATATTACTGCAGAGAATGTTCTGGTCTTTGGTGAAGGGAATTTGGCAATCAGCTTTTCCTTACATGAAAATAAGATGAAAGTTTTCTGGCGTTTGAATTTTGGGAGGGTGCCTTTGGTTTTGTTTTCCTGCAAAACACGAGGAGTTGTGTATATGGGGAAAAACTAGACTTGATATAAAAAAACTTAGACCCGTTTAGAGTCACAGTATTTTACTGTAATTCAGGCATATTATTACATTATCACTTAAATAGTAAAACTGTCTGTTGGCTTCATGAATTTGTTTGGTACTTGGTTTGAAACACTGAGAGAGTACATTCCAGAACATAGCCAAGTTGGCTTCAGTTCATGCACAACAGATTGCCTGCTGCAAGTATAAATAACCATTTTTTTTTATGGAATCACTTTCATGTTTTTCTTTATATATTTGAGGAAAAATAGAAAATAAGAGTTAGATGAGTGTTATTAGGAGCATTATTTTTCCTACTCTCGGGTTTATTTTAACATTCTTAAAATATTTTTCACTTTGTACTCTTTCTTAGTAAACTGCTTTCTGATAAAACGTTTCACTGTTTTCAGCATTTTCTGATTTTTGCCAAAATATGAAAGTATCTCTACTAGCTCTTTTTGTTGTAAGACCAAGTTCCATGTCATGATAGGCCTCCAGAAGGAATAACTTGGTTTCTCAGATTTAGAGTGCCTGCTGAATTGGAATGCTAACAGTAAGAACTGCTTTTTGTAAAAAATTAATGTGTTTTGCACTCTCTACACGTTCTAATACATTTATAGTAACTGTCCGGAGGTTAAGACTGATTCAGTTCCTTTTAGTATAGGCTGTTAGGCAGTAAAAATACGACTATATTTTAAACAAGAAAATGTTCATGTGCCATAATATTTATAGTAAATTATATAACAGTTTTAGATGATGTCGTATGTTACACTATATAAACTCTTTTCTTAAGCCAGACTCCTTGTATATATTATCTTTCAGTGATTGTACACAGTGGTATAGTGTTTCACTTGATACGATTTTAATCACTGTTAGGTTGAACTTGAAAGGAAGTTGGAATCTGCAACTAAGTCTAAACTGCATTACAAGCAGCAGTGGGGACGAGCTTTGAAAGAACTTGCCAGACTTAAACAGGTATGTAGTTTATAGCTGATGATGGATTGTTCATTTTATGTCTTTCTGTCCCTTGATTCTTTACAAGTATGCGTATTTGGCAATATGTCTTATGTTCAGATGTGTCCATTTCAAAAAAAAAAAAATTTCTGACATTAGGAGGTTAGGGGCTTTTTTAAAGATCTTAATTAGAAAAAAAAAAAAATGAACTTTTAGGTCTTTTTTTTTTTTTTTTTTAAATAGCCATTTTTTTTTTTCAGAAGAAAGTGGGAATAATTTATTTTACTTTCACTTATAAAATGCCCATTTTTTTTTTTCCTCTTAGTATAAATTCCTTCCATTGAAAGTACCATTCAGGAGAGAACTTTAAGAAAAACTTAAAAAATTTAACATGTCCTCCAACCGAAGAGTTTATTTTAAATGTTATTCCTAGAAGACATAGTCATTTATTCAGTGAAGAAAAGGAATCAGAGACAATTTTTGCATAATTTTATAAGAATTTAAAAAGTGATAGCGGTTTCCTGAGTTCTTCTTACCTTACTTTTCTTCCCCCTCCTTCTTGCTACTTGATAACAAATGCCGTAAGCCTCAGGAGAAATTAATCTTATTTTGGGGTGCAATTTCCTCAGATGATTAAGATCAAGTAAAATATGAGCAAGGTTTTTTAGACTCCAATCTACTTGACCTCACACTTTTAAGGATCAGTAATGGTTAGCTTTATTCTAACTTCTGCCTTTTTTTTAACAGTTTTATTCTGAATGAAATTTGGCACATAGGGCCTTTCAAATTTGTATTCTTTATATCTGTCTCCATGACCGTTAAATGCTATTAAACATCTTTGTGGTATCGTATTTATCGCTTCCTGCCCTCATAGAGAATTATGTCCAAGACTACAGGAGAATTAATAGTACTAATTTGCCTTAACGTAGCTCCTAGAAGCGTTGAGATGACACAGAATGACCATGAAAGTTCACAGGACTAAGGATAGATGAGTGTAAGTGGGGGCCTCCTGTATTCAAGCTACTGCCCTAGATTTACTGATGTAGGTAAAACAAGTCTTTCCCTCAGGGAGCTTGCAATTTAGTAGTAGGGAAGAAAATTACAAGTATAACATTTATATTTAAAAGAGCCCTGAGAAGCACCATCCAGAGTAGTCTGGAGAGGAAAGTACATCTATTTTACAGCACTTAAGAAAGGTGTTGGGGAAGAGGAGGTATTTGAGATAGCCCTCTGGTGAGTGGGTTGTGATTGAGGAAAGTCGTGAGGGAAATGCTGGAAATAAAATCACTGAAATGATTATGGCAAACAGGCACCAAGTTGGAAAGCATAGACTGTACTTGGACCCCAGAGAAGGACCCCTTGTAGTGGTCATTTTGGGCGATAAGGACTGGAACTTCAGTGGGAACGGGACACACAGATTCTTGTAAAAACAAAACAAAAAACATAGTTTTAATGTGGAGTAGATTTTAATTTTAATGTGGAGTAGAAAGTCAAAGATGATGCCCAAGGCTAAAGCCTTACCATCTGGAAATAGTTTTCCAGTACGGAAATGCAGTATTAAGATGAGAAGGAGATAGGACTTGCAAAGTTGGACATTTTAACTTTTGCAGAGAGAAATTCAGCAAGCAGTCAGAAATAGGATCTGGTGTAGGGAGGCTGTTGGGGCTTAAGAACAGAGCAAGGACTCCCTTGCAGAGGGGAGAATTAAAGCTGTGGCAGACAGAACTGAGTATCCTCAGGTTTGCAGAGGACAGAGGACAGCTGATCCTGGAGGCAGCAGCTAGAAAGAGGGTGATCATGACCATGATTTCCAGCTGCTCACTTCTTGTCATTTCATCCTAACCAAGACCCCTCTGCAGCAGGTAATTTTATTTCCATCTTCCAGACGAAAGACACTGAGACTTAGAGAAGTCAAGTCAGGTGCACCTGCTCACACAGATCATGAGCGAGCAGGTGAGGACTGGAGTCCAGGCTCTTTCCCCTTTTTTCATGTTACCTTTTTATTCCCTAGAAGCCAAATAATGCAAGAATTTCAAGAAGAACAAAGGGAGCCAGGGAAGGCTTTAGGGATTTCTGACAAAGTACTGTAGGCACAAGTCACGGTTTGGCGCATCCCAGCCAGGAAAGTGGCATCCCTGACTTAGATAGGTGAGCTCTGATGGTGAGAACTGAGTGACTTTGAGCGGGAAGAAGCTGAAGCCACGATGCCAGGGGCCTTAGGTTACATACGGTACAAGGTGGAGAAGCCCGAGGAATTGGGAACAAGGAAATAATGTGTTGGGAGTAGCTGTTAAAAGTGACAGGATTCAAATTCTCTCAGAGGTGGTTTAGAACATGTCCTGAGAGGTGAGGTGAATCTTGGCTCTACCTCTTGATTTTTTCACCGTACAAAGGAGAAGACTAACTTCTCACAGGCTGGTCTGAGAATTGAATGAGTGGTTTATACAGCGTTTAATACAGGTTTGGTACTAGGATATGCTCAATACCTGGTTAACCGTTAAAAGGAATTGAGCCCTAAAACTGTTGTGGAGTGTTCTTGGTTTTAGTCAGCGGGGATCTAATTGGTTGGTAGCTTTGGATATTTTTGGGGACAGAAAAATATTGGAGGGATTTGGTACTACGGTGTTCTAGTCAACAGTTTCAGATTTTTAAGTCTACAGAAGCAGCGGATGTGGTTATATAGCAATAGCAAGAGGGAAGTGGGTAGGATAGTTTGAGTAATAACAGTACTTCGTATTTATGGTAGTTTTATCGATGTTCTTTAGAAAACTGTATAGAAGGGGGAAAAAAAATCCTAAACGTGCAGATACACCAGAGAATCTGTAGAACATCCTAAAGACTGGGTATAAAGAGATGAGAGAGCATGGAGTCTGTAGTTCTCACTTCCCCCCTTTCTGTCAGCCTGTCCTTACCGGGAGCCTGTGGTGCCCCTTGCACACGAGTGGATGCTCCCCACAGAGCGGCGCGGTCTCATGGCAAATCCCGCGTCCAGCTGGGAGGACTGGTAGTTCTCCAGGGTCTAGCAGGGTGCTGAGATATCCAAATGAGGTTAGCCAAAATAGAAAAATAAGTGTTAGAAAAATAAGAGGACAGTGGGCTTACCACTGTATTTTATCCCTCAAAGCTAAGGGGAAAATGTTTGAAAGACAGTGTTTGAAATACCACGATCAGATTTGCAGTCATTTCCAGTCTTACAACCTGGAGTAGATGGGGAAGACATGGGAGACGGTGGCTGCAGCCGAAGAAAAGTGACATGGTGAAGGCTCAGAGATTCAGAGAATGGTAATTCAGTAGAAGCCATTACCAAATTCAGTATTGAAAAGGCAGAAAAGTACTAAAGTATTAGCTGTTGATTAGTGATGACTCTTTTCTCCAAAGGAAATGCCCTAATTACTGAAACAGATTTTCATTAGAATTGTCTCGAAAAGGCTGCCACCCGCCTGCCCTTCCTTCCTATCACAGGCCTCCTTGTACACTTTTGCTATTTCTTGCTCTTCCCGTTTAATTCCTTCTTTTCTGTTTACCCTTTCTTCCTCTGTCTTTTCTGCCCTCTTGCCTAAAAACCATGGGCAAAGTAATTTTGGTGTTTGTTCCTCCGAACAGAGAGGTTATCATCACAAAAGTCAGATGCTTCCCTTGGAGTCAGTGTCTGTATTAAGAAGAAAACAGCCCTACATGACTGGCTCACCTCTGAACTATTTGCTCAAGAAAAGAGTCTCCTTCTTTGAGTGCAGTGATCTTCCCTGCAGCGTAATTCTGTTCCTTATCCCACAAACTTTCTGCTTTGGAAACAACACTGTAAACAAACTTTGAGGTCACTAGGCATCACTGATGGTCTACAGACGACTTTTGAGGTTCGGCACTTAGGAAGAAATGCAAGAGCCATACTGAATTGTGCTCTGCCACTAACTGTTTGTTGCAGGTTTAAAATTAATAACTTCATCAAATAGGCACAATTCATATGTGTGAAAATACAATTTTTTTAGAACTTTTTATTAAAAACACATTTATTGTGTTTGAATATAAAATTGGAATCCTCTATCTGCTTTTGTTCAGAGGACTGTTTGTGCAACTTCTTGTTTAAATTGGATTAGTACCATGTTAATTTTACATTGCCTCTGGTGAATAGCCACGGGGCGGTAATCTCTGCCAGTAATTTGTCACAGCAAAATCCTCTGGAGGGCCATCCAAAACATTTGTGTAGTACGGATTAGACGGGGAAAGCCATATCTTAGATTGTTAATAAATGTTAATGACAAAACCCAGCTGGTAAAGCTTGGAAATAAGATCTAATGCTTGGTACCTATTGCCAAAAGAATGTTTAAACAGATTTCCATTACTCAAAAAAAAACCAGTATCGTCAATTTGTGAATTAAAAAATCATACTCTTCCAATGATTTAGGAAAAAAAATCTTTTCCTCTGCCTCACAACCATAAAAATCTGTGTTTCCAAGCTGTAATTTTGTGTTGTTATTGTTGGTCTTTGCAAACGGGGAAGACAACAGCTGTAAAATAGAACATTAAATGGGTCCGAACTTAGAAAACAAGGAAATGAGCCCCAGACATTCTGGATTTGATATCTTTGCTACAGTGTGTAGCACAGATCTTTAAAGAATTCTGATTGTTAGACAGTTAAGGGGAAATTTAGTTTCTTTTCCCCCCACGTCCACGAAGATACACTGTAGAAATAGTTTTAAACCCAAACACTTGTTTCCTTGTTCTACAGTTACTCAAGGTTGTCGCTTTAACTTTTGTTTTCTAAATGTTTAATAACATTTCTTGTCACCCTAGAAAATAATTATCTAGGTAGAATAAAAGCCACTACTTCTAAAAAAAAAAAAAAAAAATCATTAAGAGGTATGAATTTGTTGGTGGAGAAAATTTTACATTTTCATTATGTCAGATCCATTAAAACTAGGTACGTTTGTTCCGAGGACAGGAAACAGAAGGAAGATTTGGGGTAGCCTGTGGGTCCCTTACCATATTTGTGCACAGTAGATCTGTTTAAAACTAAGCTCTGA